GTAGAGCTGGATGAACACAGCAGGCCAGGCAGCATCAGAGGAGCAGGAAAGTTGATGTTTCAGGTCTGGACCCATCTTCAGAAATGGGGAAGGTGGAGGGGAAGCGGGCTCTGAAATAAAAAGAGAGGGGGAGGCGATGATAGAAGGTGGATAGAGAAGCAGATAGGTGGAGAGAAGACAGACAGCTAAAAGAGGTGGGGATGAGAGGGGCTGGTCTTGGGATGAGGTTGGGGGTGGGGAGATTTTGAAGCTTGTAAGGTCCACATTGAGACCATTGGGCTGCGGGGTTCCCAGGCGGAATATGAGGTGCTGTACCTCCAGCTCCACAAAGCGGTCTCCAAGCCTCTGCTTGGTTTCCCCGATACAGAGGAGGCCACATCGGGAACGGCGGATACAGTATACCACATTAGCGAATGTGCAGGTGAACATCTGTTTAAATTGGAAAGTTTTCTTGGGGCCTGGGATGTAAGTGAGGGGGGAGGTGTAGGGGCAGGTAGTAGCACCTCCGTCGGTTGCAGGGAAAAGTTTCGGGGGTGGTGGGGCTAGTGGGGAGTGTGGAGCGGACGAGAGAGCTGTGAATAGAGCGGTCCCTCTGGAAGGCACATAAGGGTGGGGAGAGAAATATATCCTTGGTAGTGGGGTCAGATTGCAGGTAGCGGAAGTGGCGAAGAATGATGCATTGAATCCGGAGGTTGATGGGGTGATACGTGAGGACAAGCGGAATTCTGTCTTTGTTGTTATTGCGGGGAGGGGGTGTGAGGGCTGAGGTGCGGGAAACGTGAGAGACGCGGTCAAGGGCGTTTCCGACCACTATGGAGGGGTATTTGCGGTCCTTGAAATACGAGGACATCTGGGATGTCTGGGAGTAGAATGCCTCATCTTGGGAGCAGATGCGGCGGAGGTGAAGGAATTGGGAATAGGGGATGGCATTCTTGCAGGAAGGTGGGTGAGAGGAGGTGTAATCCCTCCCTAATAGCATTGTAGGTCAATCCACAGCAGGTGAACTGCAGCAGTTCAAGAAAGCAGCTCACCACCACCTTCTCAAGGATAGCTAGGGACAGGCAACAAATGCTGGTCAGCCAGTGATGCCCACATCCCACAAAATGAACTTCAAAACATTCTAGTCCTAACACGGAGGAAATTGTGTTGGATCTGGTCCTGGGAAATGCAGCCGACCAAAAGGAGAACGTTAGAGTTGGGGAGCTTTTGGGAAATAGCGATCGTAATAAAATAAGGTACGATATTAGGTTGAAAATGGACAAAAATCAGTCAAGGATTAAGATTCCAGATTGGAAAAGGGCAGATTTTAGGGATCTAAAAGTTGAACTGGAGCAGGTTGATTGGAAACGCATTTTGGAGGACGAAACATAGGATGAAAAATGGGAGACTTTCAAAAGATAGACGAAATGGGGTGCAAGGACATAGGAACAGGAATCGGCATTCAGCCTCTGAATCCTACATTGCCGTTCAGTGAGATCGTGGCTGATCTGTGGCCTAATTTCAAATGCTTGTCTTGGGCCCATATCCCTTGATACCCTTGTTTAATAACATTTTTTCAATCTCATTTAAATTTAACAATTGAATTAGCATTGATCGCTGTTTGAGGAAGAGAATTCCAAACCTTTACTACTGTTAGCTTGTAAAAGTGCTTTCTAACGTTTCTCCTGAATGGCCTGCCCCTAATTTTTAGACTGTGTGCCCTTTGTTCTTGAACCTTCAAGCAGTGGAAATAGTTTATCTTTATAAAATCTGTCTTTCCCTGTTAATATCCTGAAAACCTCAATTCAGTCACCCCTTAACCTTCTAATAAAGACTGAAAGAACTGCGGATGCTGTAAATCAGGATCAAAAACAAAATTGCTGGAAAAACTCGACAGGTCTGGCAGCATCTGTGAAGGGAATAACAGAGTTAATGTTTCGGATCCCGTGACCCTTAAAGACCAGATTTGTCGAATCTCTCCTCGTAACTTAACCCCTAAAGTCCAGGTATCATCTTGTACAACTGTGTTGAACTCTGTCCAGAGCCAGGGCATCCTTCCTAAAGTGTGATGCCCAGATCTGCTCACAGTAATCTAAGGGTCTAACTAGAGTTTTGTATAACTGCAGCATGATGGCTGCATCCCTATAGTCTAGCCCTTTAAATATGAAGACCAGCACTCTATTAGTCTTCTTGGCTATTTCCTGCACCCGTCTATGTCATATTAAAGAGCTATACACCATACATACCTATGAGAATTACATACAGGGTATCCTAGAGTACCTGGATAGCTGAGGTTATTGATAAGAAAAAAGGAAGAAAAAGGTATATGAAGCCTGCTGCAATAATAATTGCAATCGAAATCAGGAAGAGTATCTCAAATGTAGGAGAGAGGCTAAGGGTGAAATACGGAAGGCTAAGAGGAAGCATGATGAAAGGATGGCAGGCTGCGTTAAAACATGTCATAAAATATTTTTCAGTCAAAATATTAGTGAAGGTTGGATTGGGACCTGTAACAAGCAAGCAGGGTAAGCTACTCAATGAAGCAGAAGGTATGGCAGAGCTACTAAATGAGTACTTTAATTTATCTTTACCAAATTAGAAAACGCTGACAGTGACCCAGCTAAAAACGTGGGTTTTGAGTAACTGAGCAGAAAGGTGATTGATTGGGGCAGCATGGTGGCTCAGTGGTTAGCCTCACAGCACCAGGGGCCCGAGTTCAATTCCACCCTCGGGTGACCGTCTGTGTGGAGTTTGCATATTCTCCCCGTATCTATGTGGGTTTCCTCCAGGTGCTCCGGTTTCCTCCCACAGTCAAAAGATGTGCAGGCTAGGTGGATTGGCTGTGCTAAATTGCCCATAGTGTTCATGGATGTGTAGATGAGGTGAGTTATGGGGAATGGCTCCAGGTGGGATGCTCTGCGGGTCAGTGTGGACTGGTTGGGCTGAAGGGCCTGTTTCCAAACTGTAGGGATTCTTCTTCTTCTTCTATAAAGATGACGTACGATAAAGACTGGCAGCACACCACGTAAATGGATTGCCAGGACCGGATGGGATGTGTCCTAGATTGCTGAGAGAGATAAGGGAGCAAATTGTGAAGTCATTGACAAAAATTTTCTAGGTCTGTCTGAAAACAAACTCAGTCCCGGGCAAGTGGGGGTTTGCAACTGTGCGCAAATGTGTTTAAGAACGGGGCAAAGGCAAACCCAGGAAACTACAGATCTGTCAGCTTGACATCAATGATCGGAAAACTGATGGAATCCATATTACGAATTAATTTAAGATAAATGTGCACTTGGAGAAAAATAGGTTAATGCTGAACAGTTAACATGGCGTTTTCAAGGGCAGGTTATATCTGAGGTGACGCAGGCATTGGGTGAGGGTGGTGCTTTGGATGTTGTATATTTATACTTTAGTCAGAGGGTTGTTAGGATTTGGAATGCACTGCTTTGGAGAGTAGTGGAGGCAGATTCCATAGGAGATTTCAGAAGAGAGTTGGATATATATTTGAAATGGATTTACAGGGCTATGGAAATAGGGCTGAAGAATGAGATGAGGTGGGTAGCACTTTCGGGAGCCGGTACAGCCTTGAGGGCTGAAGGACCTGTGATTCCATGTGAGAAATCAATATGAATCGTTAAGACTATAGGATATTGGAGCAGAATTAAGCTGTTAAGCCCATTGCAGGAGGTTGAGAGGTGACCTCATAGAGATTTATTAAATAATGAGGGGTCTAGTTACAGTGAACGGCAGGTGTCTTTGCCCTAGAGGAGGGGATTTCAAGACCAGGTGCATTTTTTTTTGTGATAGAGAAAGATTTAAAAAAGAAACGGGGCTTTTTTTTTTAATACAGAGAGTGGTTCATGTGTGGAATGAACTTCTGGAGGAAGTGATGGATGCGGGTACAGTTATAAAACGTTTAAAAGGCATTTGGATCATTACATGAATAAGAAATGTTTGGAGGGATATGGGTGAAGCGCAGGCATGTGTGCCTGCCACTGTTTGGGATTATGGTAGGGATGGTCAGGTTGGACTGAAGGGTCTGATTACATGCTGTATTACTATGAGTCTAACCTGCTATTTGATCATGGTTGTATTTCTTGACCCCATTCTCCTGCCTTCTCCCCATAAGCCTTGACCCCCTTAATGTTTAAGAACCTATCTATCGCAGTCTTGAAGACACTCAATGACTTGGCTTCCGCAGCCTTCTGCAGCAATGAGTTCTACACATTAACCACCCCCTGGCTTAAGAAATTCCCCTTTACCTCACTATTACGAGGGGGCACAATTTTAAGGTGATTGGAGGAAGGTATAGGGGAGATGTCAGAGGTAGGTTCTTCACACAGAGAGTGGTGAGTGTGTGTAATGCGCTGCCGGCAGTGGTAGTGGAGTCAGATATTTTAGAGACTTTTAAACAGCTCTTGGATAGGCACATGGAGGACAGTAAAATGCAGGGTAGATTGATCTTAGTAGGATAATAGGTTGGCACAAAATCGTGGGCCAAAGGGCCTGTACTGTGCTGTACTGTTCTATGTTCAAATGTTCAATTCTAAAGGTTCTTCCCTTCACTCTGAGACTCTGGCCTCTGGTCCTTGTCTCTCCTTTTAGTGGAAACATCATCTCCATTTCCAATTGAGCCTGGCCTCTCAGTATTCTGTAAGTTTTATGAGATCCCCCTCGTCTTTCAAAGCTCCATTGAAGACAGGTGGAATTAGTTGGAATATTGTAAATCATGTAAGTTAACAACAACTAACTGAACTAATAACTGCATGGTAAAGTTCATCAATTATAACAAACGCTTCTGAGTGAAATAACTGTTCAACAGGATAACTATTTCTGATTTTTTCTTTTAATCTTTACAATGATTCAGTGTTTCATTGGAAAATTGCAGTCATTCAGAATAAATCTTAATCTATCCATTGAATTGCATCCAGTGTGCAGCCTTCTCCCTCTATTACAGAGTTTTAATATATGATGATACACATGACAAACATTTGAGCATAATGGGTGCATATAGCAATTTTTCATGATTCATAAAATCCTACAGTTGGCTGGTAGGTGTCTGAATCTGTGGAGTGAAGAAAAAATTTCAATCAATCATCATTTGTTTTGTCAGTAAAAAGCTATCACCCTTTGCTTTTCACGTTCTTCCTGCTGTCTTCTATTGTGAAGATAAACCTACAATTTTTTCAAAAAATTCATTCACAGGATGAGGGCATCACTGACTAGGTGGCATTTATTGCCCATCCCACATTGTGTCAACCACATTGTTGGCGGTCTGGAGTCCATGTAGGCCCAACCAGGTAAGGACATTAGCGAACCAGGTAGGTTTTTCCGGACAATCAACAATGGATTCATGGTCACCATTAGTATTTATGATTATTTGGAAAAGCACAGTTTGATTAGAAATAGTCAACATGGCTTTGTGAGGGACAGGTTATGCTTCACAAGCCTCATTGAATTCTTTGAGGATGTGACAAAACACATTGATGAAGCCAGAGCAGTGGATGTGGTGTATATGGATTTTAGCAAAGCATTTGATAAGATTCCCCATGGTAGGCTCATTCAGAAAGTAAGGAGGCATGGGATTCAGGGAAATTTGGCTGTCTGGATACAGAATTGGCTATCCAATAGAAGACAGAGGGTGGTAGTAGATGGAAAGTATTCAGCCTGGAGCTTGATGACCAGTGATGTTCCACAGGGATCTGTTCTCGGACCTCTGCTGTTTGTGATCTTTATAAATGACTTGGATGAGGAAGTGGAAGGGTGGGTTAGTAACTTTGCTGATGACACGAAGGTTAGTGGAGTTATGGATAGTGTGGGGGGCTGTTTTAGGTTGCAACGGGACATTGACAGGATGCAGAGCTGGGCAAAGAAGTGGCAGATGGAATTGAACCCGGAAAAGTGTGAAGTGATTCATTTTGGAAGGTGGAATTTGAATGCAGAATATAGGGTTAATAGCAGGATTCTTGGCAGTGTGGAGGAGCAGAGGGATCTTGGGGTCCACGCGCATAGATCCCTCCAATTCGCTACCCAAGTTGATCGGGTTGTGAAGAAGGCGTATGGTGTGTTGGCTTTTATTGGCAGGGGAATTGATTTTAAGAGCCACGAGGTTATGCTGCAGCTCTATAAAACCCTGGTTAAACCACACTTGGAATATTGTGTTCAGTTCTGATTGCCTCATTATAGAAAGGATGTGGAAGCTTTAGAGAGGGAGCAGAGGAGATTTACCAGGATGCTGCCTGGACTACAGGGCAGGTCTTATGAGGAAAGGTTGAGGGAGCTAGAGCTTTTCTCATTGGAGCGAAGAAGGATGAGAGGTGACTTGATAGAGGTGTACAAGATGATGAGAGGCATAGATAGAGTGGATAGGCAGAGACTTTTTCCCAGAGCAGAAATGACTATTAAGAGGGAGCATAATTTTAAGGTGATTGGAGGAAGGTATAGGGGAGATGTCAGAGGTAGGTTCTTTACACAGAGAATTGTGGGTGTGTGGAATGCACTGGCAGTTGTAGTGGAGTCAGATACATTAGGGACATTTAAGCAACTCTTGGATAGGGACATGGATGAAAGTAAAATGTAGAGTATACACGGTAGTTTGATCTTAGAGTAGGATAATAGGTCGGCACAACATCGTGGGCCGAAGGGACTGTACTGTGCTATGTTCTATTAGATTCTTAATTCAAGACATTTTATTGAATTCAAATTCCACCAACTGTTGTGCCGGGATTTGATCCCAGGTCTCCAGAACATTATCTGGGTTCCTGGATTAACAGTCCAGTGATCATACCACTAGGTCATTGCCTCCTGAAGGTTTTACAAACTGGAATATATCAGAAAAGAACAAATGTGACATCTGCGTTCCAGAAAGGAGGGATGCAAAAAGCAGTCAGCTACAGGCCCAGATAGCTGAACATTTAACGTAAGTAAAATGCTGGAATCTATTAATGAAGAGATTACACTGAAGTACACTATCCTACTTTCCCTCACAGACACCATCGTGCACTCTCGACATTCCATTACACACTCCCTCACTGTGACAGACCATTACAAATTCCCTCACACAGAGATACACCACAATACTGTCCCTCATATAGATACACACCATTGCACACTCTATCACAGAGAGGCACACCATTATGCACTCCCTCATGCAGAGACACACCACAATACATTCTCGCACAGAGACATACCATCACACAATCCCTCACACAGGGACAAGCCATTACACACTCCATCTAAAAGACAGTCATCATCTCACACACACACTCGCACTCACGGCGGGCGATGGCCTACTGGTATTATTGTAGGAGTATTAATTGAGAATGTTTGGGTTAAAATCCTATCGCGGCACATTGTGGAATTTGAATTGAATTTTAAAAAAATTTAAGAATCTATAAATGATCATTGTTGCTTGTCTGAAAAGCCCAAATGAGTCATGAAGCTCTTCTGGGGAGGAAATCTGCCATTCTCACCTGGACTGACTTAAATGTGACTCCAGACCTACAGCAATATAGTTGATTCTCAACTGCCCTTTGAAATAGCCTAGCAGGCCACTCAGTGTATCAGTAGCGACAAAGACTCAACAAAGAAACAAAACCAGACGAACCATCCGACATTGACGAAGGCACCAGAAAAGTCAACAGTGAAACAGTCCTGTTGATGCTGCAAAGTCCTCCTGACTGATATCTGGGGGTTAGTGTATGAGAGCTGTCTCACATAATTGTCAAGCAACAGACTGATGTAGTCATAGTTGGAGAAGCTTACCTTTAAAGACAAAGTCCCAGACACCACCATCACAATTTCACTGGCAAGACAGACCCAGCAGAGGTGGCAGCACACTGGTAGTGTCTTGGCAGTCCTCAACATTGATTCCAAACGCCACGAAGTTTCATGGCTTCCAGTTAAACATGGGCCAGGAAACTATATACTGTCCTTTCTCAGCTGATGAATCAATGTTCCTCCATGTTGAACACCACTTGGAGGAAGCATTGAGCATCGGAAGGCCACAAAACATGCTCTGGCTGATCAAACTGGTTGGGTCCTGAAGGATATAGTTGTTTGAGGGGTCTGTAGCAGGTGGAGAGGGAACCAACAAGAGGGAAAAGCATACCTACCAATACTTGACCTCATCCTTACCAATGTGACAGATGTATCTGTCTGTGACAGTATTGATAATAGGGACTCACCACAGAGTCTTTGTGGAAACAAAGTCATACTTTCACATGGAGAAAAACTACATCGTATTATATGGCACAGTCACTTTCCTAAACAGGACAGACTCCAAAAAGCAGCTGAAATCTAGGCATCCATGTTGTGCTTTGGGCCATCAACAGCAGCAGAATTGCATCCCAGCATAATCTGAAACTTTACGGCTTGGCATATTCCCCACTCAACCATTATCATCAAGCCAGGGGTTCAACCCTAGTTCAATGGAGAGTGCAGGAGGGCATGCCAGGAGCAGCACCAGGCTGAGGTGTCGGTGAGGTGTCAACCTGGTAAAGCTACCAAACAGGACTAACTTGCCACCAAACAGCGAAAGCAGCAAGTGATAGACACAACTAAGCAATCCCACAACCAACGGATCCGATCTAATCTGTGCAGCTCTGCCAGACTCAATTGTGAATGATGGTGGACAATTAAAAAAAACTCAGTGGATGAGGAGGCTCCACAAATATTCCTATCATCAATGATGGAAGAGCCCAGAAGGTGGAAGTATTTGCAGGAATATTCAGCCAGAAGTGCCAAGTAGATAACCCATCTTGGCCATCTCTGCAGAGTGACTAATGCCAGTCTTCAGCCAATTGAATTCACTCCAATTGATATCAAGGAACAGTCTATAGATGTGAGGCTGGAAATGCACAGCAAGAATTTGTATTTGCTAATACGTTTAATTTTGTGGATGGATTCATGGTCATCATTAGATTCTTAATTCCAAATATTTTATTGAACTCAAATTCCATCATCTGCCGTGGCAGGATCTAAACGCGGGCCTCCAGAATGTTATCTGGGTCTCTGGATTAACAGTCCAGCGATTTATACTACTAGGCCATTGCCTTCCCAGTAGCAGACAATAATCCAGGAACTAATATCAACATACCTTTCCCTAGACTAACCTTCCATCTATGTGAATATCAATGTAAAGTATATGTTAAGGGTCTCACCTTCTTCCTCCAATTCCTTACGTAAATTCCCTCCTCTGTTCTTGAGTGGACCTATCCTTTCTCTAGCAACCCTCTTGTTCCTTATTTGCAATAAATTCCTTGCCACTGACGTAAAATTCACCAGCCTACAATTTCCTGGATTATCCCTTTGACCTTTCTTGAACAAAGGAACAGCATTGACTATTCTGTAGTCTTTTGGAACCTCACCTTTGGCGAAAGAGGATACAAAGATCTCTGTCAAGGCCTCCTCCCTTGCCCTTTTCATATCGTGGAATAGACTCCATCAGGCCCTGGGGACTTATCTACATAAATGCTTTCTAAGACACCCAATTCCATCTCCTTCTTAATATCCCTATGCCCTAAAATGTCAATATATCCTTCTGTATTCCTACCATTGGCCATGTCCTGCTCCTTGGTGAATACTGATATGAAATAATGATTGAGGAGCCACCCACTTCCTCCAGCTTGACCCATAAATTCTCTCTTTTTTATTGTTGAGTGGAGGTACCTTTTCCTTTGCTATCCTCCTTCTAATATATGTGTAACATGCCTTGGGATTCTCCCTAGCCCTATTTGCTAAGAACCTTTCATGACCCCTTTCTAGCTCTCCTGTTGCTTGTTTAAGTTGTTTTCTGCTTCCTTTATTTTTCTCAAGGACCTTGTCAGATTTCAGTTTTCAAACCACATCTGCTTCCTTTTTCTTTTTGACTCATGCTTGCAGTTACTTTTGTTATCAGCCTATCCCAGGCAAATTTCTAGCCTGACCACTAGTTACTCAGTTTTAGACTTTGCAGAAAGTGTAGGAAGGTGCTGAAGTGTCATTTTGCTTGTTGATTCTTACCTTGGACAACCACCACTTCTTCAACTTGCTAGAGATCTTGCACTTGCGATCGTCACTTTCTTT